TACGGACCCAAAGTCCCAGCGGGCGGCGAGAGGGTAAGTCCTGGAGGGTTTGAAGACCTGGTCTCAATCCCTCTCCCTACCCGCCGGCCGTCACGCCGGGTCCTGCTCCAGACTCCAGCCGAACAGCGCGCTCCGGGCAGGCGGGCGAGGGAGAGGATTTTGCCTAGGGGTCAGGAGTCCCCGGGAGCCTGCCGACTTGGATGTGCCTGTGGGCCTCGCGCTGGGTGCTGTCCACCTGCTGGGGCCCTGAGGCAGGCGTCACGCGTGGCCCGACCTGGCCCTGCCTCTCCCTTCCCCGCCGGGCCCGCGTCCCATCCCATCTCCTTCCGCCTCCGCCAGCGCCGAGGAATGTGGAGAGGCCGGCTGGGCGGCTGGGACGCCTGGGTCCCCTGCGCTCTGAGGTCGTAAGCGCTGGGCCTAGATGCGGGAGCTCCCACCTCGGGGACCTGGGCAAGGGGTGACCGCCTCCTCAGATTAGGGTCCGTGGCGGGGACCCCCCGGAGAGGGAACTGGGGGCCAGAACTCTTCGAGGAACCTTCGGCATTAACCTCAGGACAGAACCCTCGGCCCGCCCTGGTGAGCCTCCTTGGGAATCCGGAGGGGATGGTGAGGAACAGCCGTCTCCCAGATTCTGTCGCATCTCTTCGTGGGGAAACTGAGGCACCACTGGTGTGGGAGACCTCCTTCCCCTGACGTTCCCTCTCTGATTCCCCCGCAGACTGGCAACCAGACTTCCCAGTGCAATGGCCTGGGTCAGGCTCCCATCCCCCGCTCAGGGGTCCCCAGCAGGCCCGGTGGCTCCGTGCCCGGGTGGGGCGGGCTGCGCCGCCGCCAGGGCCGGCGCCAGCACCTGGCGGAGGCGGAGGTCGGATAAATATAGAGGGGGGGGGGGAGGGAAACAGGACTGCGATTAGGGGAATTGGTCTAAGTGGTCAGCACCTGCCCTCTGTGGTGGGGTGGCCAGGAGCCCCTTTCAGACCCTCCAGAAATCGGGTGGATCTTTCTGCCTTAGGAACACACAGGACCCAGGCGTCCCCAAGCTTCTAGGCCGGGCAGGGTCGGCTCTGTGAGTCAGGCCATTGCTTCCCTCGCGCTCCACCTCCACCCCCCTCCCGGGAGCTTGGGGACAGGTGTCCCTGGCCCCCCCTCCCCCACCTTCCCCTCTTGGCTTTAGCAGTCTTCTCGCAATGGGACGATGGAACAGCTCCTGCCTGACCTGGCTCCTGGATGGGTTTGTGGCCTCTCTCAGACCCCAGTCTACAGTTGAAGCTCAAAGGCATAAGGGGTGGGGGGTGGGGGAGGCGCAAAATCTCCTATGGCATCTCCCCCTGAGAGTGTGTACCATTCCTCAGCCTGGCCAGCCCTTCCTGAGCCCAGCGAAGGGATAGGGTCTCTGATGACATTGAGTCTCAGTGGTGTCTGTGGGAGGGCATAAAAGCTCTTGGAGAAAGCCCTATACGTCGGGAAGCTAAGGCCCAAAGACGGAAGGGGACTTCAAGGTTCCTCTCTTACATCCCTGGGCAGTTAGTGGTAGGCTTGGTATCAGAACCCAGGTCTCCTGACTCCCTGTCCAGGGCTCTCTCTACCCCACCAAACCCCTGCTTGCATCTTTGAAGTGTAACCCCCGACAAGGCCTTTTAGCTCCAGCTGTGCTGTAGACACCGGTGGGAGGGGCGAGCCCCGCGGTTTCGGTAGCTCCATCCCAGTCAGGACCGCTCCTGGGTTCTTCAGTCCCCTGAGCAGCACCGTCCTGGGGCCGAGCCTCGCGCATCCCCAGAGGAGGACTCTGATCCTGAGCCTCTTTCCCCAGGGCCCCTTGGACGTGACGCTGACTCAGCCGGTGAGGAGCGGGCCGATCTCAGACAGGTGAGCACCTCCCCTGCATCCCGCGGTCGGGAGACCCCAGCCCGTCCCCAGGACCCCCATCGTCGCCGCCTTCCCTCTCGCGATTGTGCAATAAGGGAGAGTCCTTACGCCGGACGCTGCGGTTTGGCTGGGGTCCCGAGGGGGCGGTCCGGCTGGGGGCGCCGGGAGGAAGGGGGGGTCCGGGCTATTTTTGGTGAGAAGTCAGACCGGCCCAGCAGTTCCCACAGCCTGGGGGAGGGGTGCCCGGCTCCGCACCCCTTGCTGTCTGGGGAACCCCTATTGAGGAGCCCCCTGGAGGCGCGGTGCAGGACCGGCAGCCTCGCCCAACCCTTCCTCCCCTCTGGCCCAGGCTGCAGAGCTGGGAGGAGACGCGGAGCCTCATCCCGGAGAAGGGGCCGCTGGAGGACGACGCGGATGTTGTGGTGAAAGGTGAGGACCCACCTCAGGCGTTCCGGGTGCCCCTCAGTCCCCAGACTCCTGGGGATAATGTCTTCGCCTGCTGGTCCCCTCCCCCCAGGTTGGTTGTACCGCGAGCCCCGCGGACGAGGGCCTCGGCCCTGGTTGCCCCCGCGCCGGGCCTGGTTCGTGCTCACCCGGGACTCCCTGGACCAGTTCAGCAGCAGCGGGAAGGGGGCGCGGCGCCTCGGGAGCCTCGTGCTCACCAGTCTGTGCTCAGTGACCGGCCCGGAGCGCAGGCCCAAGGAGACGGGTGAGCCCTTGTGAGAATTCCCCTACCTCCCCGGGTAGTGGCCCCAGCCGGCCCTGATGGCCCTCCACGGCCTCTCTCTCCCGCAGGTCTGTGGTTAGTGACCGTGTCTGGCCGGAAGCATAGTGTCCGGCTCTGCTCCCCGCGTCAGGCCGAAGCTGAGCGCTGGGGGGTGGCGCTGCGAGAAGTGATCGCCTCCAAGGCGCCGCTGGAGACCCCCACCCAGCTGCTGCTCAGGGACATTCAGGTAGGAGAGGGGGGACTCGTTGAGAAAGAGGAGGGTGGTGGGCCCAGCAGCTTTCCGGATTCATGGAGAGCCCCCTTCTCCATCACCATGACCCTTTCCTTGGCCTCTAGGAGAGTTGCGGGGATCCAGAGGCCGTGGCCCTCATTTACCGCCGGAACCCTATTCTGAGGCACACCAGTGGGGCCCTGTATGCCCCACTTCTGCCCCTGCCCTATGGAGTCAGCGCCCCAGGTGAGTGGTGCCAGCGGCCCAGTCCCTTGGATGGGGGATCTGAATGCCTCACCCGAGTCCTAGGAGTCCTCAGGGGACCTGCCCAGCCCCCCACTTTTTAAAGAAGGAAGCTGAAACCAGAAGCTGAGCAGACTGATACGCAGGGTGGGAAGCCATCACACACAAAATAGGCCCCCTTTGACCTTTTTTCCCCTTTTTTAATAGCAAAGGTGGAAATTTATTGAGAAACAAGCCCAGACTCCCACGTGGGGAGGGGGAAAGAGTCCCCTGACCTTTTTTTCTGACTACTGGTGTTCTTTCATGAGTTTTTACCCTGTTTTCTATTCTTTTATTATGCCGTTGAGACCATGCCATACTACCTTGACAAGTGGTGGGAAAGCCACCACTTTGGGAGAATGTGCTCACGTCATCCAGCTGTTTCTCGCCAGATGGGATCAGTGACTGGCCCGGTCCTAAAGCTAGAGGAGTCAGGGGAGTGGGGAGCAGAACCCTGGTTTTCTGACTCCCAGTCCAGCCTGTTTTCTGGCCCATGGTGATGGCTTTCTGTGCCCAATTACAGAACCTATGCCCTTTCGTCTAACCCTCTACCTTAATAACCGGAAGTGCAGCTTTAGCAGAAGGGAAGATTCCTGGGAGGCAGGGGTTGAGAGTTTGGCTCTGTGGGGACCATTGCTTTCCCTTCACTCTTCCTGTCGTTCGTACTCTCCCTTCCTTGCCACCCTCTGTCCCCTTACACTCCCTCCGACCTCCCCTGGTTCATGCTTTCCTCCCAGGGCTCAGCTCTGTGTCCCCTCTCCAAACCGTCCCCCCGCCCCCGCCCTCCTGCAGGTCCTGGCTACGCACCCTTGCGTGAGGAGGCGGTCCGGCTGTTCCTGGCGCTGCAGGCCCTGGAGGGGGCGCGGCGCCCCGGGCCCCTGATGCAGGGTGTACTCCAGACCTGCCGGGACCTGCCCGCGCTTCGCGACGAACTCTTTCTGCAGTTGGCTAAGCAGACCTCGGGCCCCGCGGGTCCCCCCGGGCTCCCGGCTACCCAAGACCCCGCGGCCCTACGGTACTGGCAGCTCCTCACCTGCATGAGTTGTACCTTCCGGCCCGGCGGAGCTGTTCGTGGGCATCTCCTGGGACATCTGGAGAGGTGAGAGGGCTGGGGGGTGGGGGGGTGGGGGCAAGGCCGAGGCAGGGAGCTATAGAGCTGGGGAGGATGACAGGCCTTTCGAAAGGGTTTGGCAGATGAAGAACTTAAACCCGAAGGAGGGAAGGGATTTGCCCAAGGTCAGGCCCGAGCTCCAGATTGCTGATATGTACAATGGCTTTCTGGGAATTACAGGGTCACCTCTCACTTGCAGGCGGAGGAATTGCAAAAAGGCGCCCCCTTTGGGCGGAGGAATAGTCAAAAGGGTGCTTTTCCTTGGGGCCGATGCAATCCAGCGCCTGGGCTTTTAGGTTGGAAAGCGGAAAGCGGCTGGATTTCAACCGGAAGAGGGACCAGGGAGACTTTGGGAAGTGGGAGGGGCAGTTCGGAGAAAGCCGCCGGGAGCCTTAGAAATCCGTTCAGCTCCAAACCGGGCACCAGGGGTAGATGCCGAGGAGCCTGTCGCTGCCTTCATGGAACTTAGAGTTCGAGGGGAGGGAATCAACGAGATGAAATAAACTGTAGAATAATAATGAGAGAGGGAGGGGAGAAGGAAAGCCCTCGGACCCCTGATCTGAGGGTTCTCACTAACCCAGGACGGAGCAGGCGCTCCCGGACTCGGAGCTGGCGGAATATGCGCGCTTCATCCGCAGAGCGCTGGGCCGGACACGCGGCCGAGAGCTGGTGCCCTCGCTGGCAGAGATTTCCGCGCTGAGCCGACGGCAAGAGCTGCTGTGCACCGTGCACTGCCCGGGGGCTGGTGCCTGCCCGGTGGCCATAGACTCCCACACCACGGCGGCGGAGGTAAGACCAGAGAGAGACGCCCTGCAACTTCAGCCCTTCCCCCCAGCTTCCTATGCGCAGCTCTCCTGGGGCGCCGGCCCCAGGTTTGCCCCGAGTCTGAGAGTCATCATTTGGATCAGGGGTGTGTGTGTCAGGACTGAGACCTGAAAGACCCCTCCAGTTGGATCAGCCCCTCCAGCAGTCCTGACGAGACCCCTGAGCGGCCTGACTCTACCCTCCAGGTTGCTCGGGAGCTGGTGGGGAGGCTGGGCTTGGCCCGAAGCCGCAACGCTTTCGCGCTGTACCAGCAGCGAGGGGCCCAGGAGCGAGCCCTGGCTGGGGGGACTCTCATGGCCGACGTGCTCACCAGGTTTGAGAAGTAAATGTCCAGCCCCAGCCCACCTCTCCGCTAGCCCATCTTCCTCTAAACTGAGGTCAGTCCTTAGGCAAACGTTTATGAGCGCTTGCCCCTTGTCCCGCATAGTAAAGTTCGCTGGTTCTAAGACGGACCCCTGTCCGCCAGCGGTTTGCAGAGGAGGTTCAAAGCTCAACTCCGAGGTCCTCTCGGCTCTGGCCCGGCTCCCAAAGCCCCTCCCCAAGCTCGGCCCCGTCCCGCCCCAACCCTTCGGGGGATGGGAGCTGCCGCTGCCTCGCTCAGCGCCCGGTTCTCCATCGCAGTTTGGCGGCGGAGGAAGCCACGGCGCTGGAAGACTCGCCGGACGCGGGTTGGAGACTGTGTCTGCGTCTGCACGGACCTCTGCGCCCCGAGGGGCTGTCCCCGGACGGTCACGAGCTGCCTTTCCTCTTTGAGCAGGTGAGGATTTTAGCATGGACGCCCCCCAGAGACCCCGAGCCTGAACTCCCTTGTTGGGCCATCGCATGTCGGTGTTGTGGCAACCCTGTGGGAGGCTTTACTCGAACCCAGACCTCAGATTCCTCGCCCCGAGGTGTGGGCACGATGGTCCAGCCGCCGCTGCCTCCCTGACGCCAGTGCCTCCCCGTAGGCTCACGCCCTGCTGCTGCGCGGCCGGCCTCCCCCGCCCGAGGACACGCTGCGCGCCCTGGCGGCGCTGCGCCTGCAGAGCCTGCACCGGGACTTCTCCCCGAGGGCGCCCCTGCCGCGCCTGGACCGCTTGCTGCCGCCCCCGACCCCGCCGCGGGAAGACCCTCCCCGCCCGATCCCCAGGCCTCCCCCCTCCGCCGCCCTGCTGGCCGGGGCAATCTGGAGCTCGGGCCTGGCCAAGAGGCGAGCGGAGCGGGCCCGGCGCATTGGGGCCGGCCGCCCGGCGGGAAGCGTGGTCCGAGAGGGAGGAGGTGGCGCTGGCATGGCGGCTGCCGTGCTGGGCGGCTGGAAGCGGCTCCGGGGCATGGGCCGAGCTGAGGCCATGGCTGCCTACCTGGCTCTGGCGGCGCAGTGTCCAGGGTTCGGCGCTGCTCGGTATGAAGTTCTGGAGCTGAGCACGGTGAGGGGGAGACGGGAGAAGGGGACTCTGGTGGCCCAAGCCCCACACCTTTGCCCCAGAGCCAGAGGCCCCCACTGTGGGCCAGTTCACCCCCTACACCCAGCACAGCTGTCCATCTCAGACCCCAGGAGTCACTGGCCCTTGGGCCCCCACATCTTTGGAGCTTTAGCCCCTCCTCCACACATTCACTATGGTTCATAGGGGGACCGGGAAACTTCCTGCTCTCAGCCATCTCTTCCCTCCAAAAATAATGCCAATAATGCCGCAGGGTCCCCTCTTTGCACCCTGACTCTGCCTGTCTGTCCCCAGGAGCCTGGTGGGGGTGCTCCACAGAAGCTATGCCTGGGCCTGGGAGCCAAGGCCATGTCCCTCTCCCGACCCGGTGAGACAGAGCCTATCCACAGCGTCAGCTATGGTCATGTGGCCGCCTGCCAGCTGATGGGCCCCCATACCCTGGCCTTGAGGGTGGGAGAGAGCCAGCTCCTCCTGCAGAGTCCCCAGGTGAGTGGGAAAGAGGGGTGTGGACTATTTAATGGAGTGACAGATGCTACAAAGGAAAGGGTGTGTGACTGGAGGGGGCCATGGCATTATGTGGGATGGTCAGGAAAGTATACTCAGAGAAGGTGGCCTCTAAACTAGTCATAGGAAGTTCTACGGCAGTGGTTCTCAACCTTCCTAATGCCGCGACCCTTTACTACAGTTCCTCATGTTGTGGTGACCCCCAACCATAAAATCATTTTCGTTGCTACTTCATAACAGTAATTTTGCTGCTGTTATGAATCGTAATGTAAATATCTGATGTGCAGGATGTATTTTCATTGTTACAAATTGGACAAAATTAAAGCATAGTGATGAATCACAAAAACAATATGTAATTATATATGTGTTTTCCGATGGTCTTAGGCGACCCCTGTGAAAGGGTCGTTCGACCCCCAAAGGGGTCGAGACCCACAGGTTGAGAACCGCTGTTCTACGAGAACAGCATTCCAGTTAGAGGGAATAGCAAGTTCAAAGGCCCTGAGCTGAGAATTAACTTAGCTTAGTAGAGGAGCACAAAGAAGGAAGTGTGACTGGCGCATTGTGAGTGAGAGAGTGGTGATGAGGAAGGAAAGCTGGTGGGGCAGCTCATGTAAGGCCTTGGTAAGGAGGCTGGGTGGAGGGTGAGACAGGAGAACCCAGTCGCCACTGTTGTATTCTGCCCTCTGCCCTTTCTTAGGTGGAAGAGATCATGCAGCTGGTGAATGCCTACTTGGCTAACCCCTCCCCTGAGAGGCCCTGCAGCAGTCCTTCTTCTTCATGCCAAGACCTGCCAGACAGCTCCTCTCCCAGCCAGCACCCGGGCCTGGACGAGCCCCAGGGACACTCTGGCTGTTTGGGGCAGCTGCCGAAGTGAGCCTGCCAAGAGGTCACGACCTCCCTTCCATCTCCAGCCTGGATCTGGACTGCTCTGAGATTTGAGGGAACGATGGACCCTTTTAGCCCTGCGGGGACAGGGCATACCCCACACCCAAGGGCAGCCATGGGTGCAGACAATTTTCTAGTTTGTTTCTTAATTTATTTGTAGAAGAGAAGCAAAAAAAAAAAAAAAATCCTTATTTACACAAACCTTTCCTGTGGGAGTTTGTCAGTGGGACAAGTTGGAGCCCCATAGCTCAGAGCTCCACCCCTGGGGACGCCCACACTCTGGGCTTTTACCAGCACTGAGGGAAGTCTGGATACCACAGGGCTCCACCCTCCCGTACTGTCTGGATTTAACCTCTTCCTGGCCAGCATGCTGCCACTGGGTGATGGGTGAGGTAGATAAGAGGGCAGTTGTGGAAGCTGGCAAGTACTCTCTCTTCTCCAGTGAGTGCACAGAGGTGGCCTCCCGGTGTCCCTGAGGCCAGAGGGCAGTGAGTCATCAGGACTAGCACTACCCAGTTTCCTACCCTGGTGTCTCGCTTGAGAGGCGTGGTTAGATCCATCTGTGGTGTGCCTATTGCTTTGGGCCTGGAATGGAGAGAAACCTGGGGCAGGATTAGACCCAGGAACTTCTCTGGCAGATAAAGAGCTTGTCAGGATGGGCTCAGCCCTACTCCTGAGGTCTGTTGCTGCTTTATCAGATCAAAGTGAATGGGGTTGATTTCCTGAGGATCTGATACCCTAGGGCCGTAATCGGCAAACTGCAGCTCAGGAGCCACATGCGGCTCTTTGGCCCCTTGAGTGTGGCTCTTCCTAAGCCTTAGGAGTACCCTAATTGAGTTGATAACAATGTACCTACCTATATAGTTTAAGTTTAAAAAATTTGGCTCTCAAAAGAAATTTCAATCGTTGTACTGTTGATATTTGGCTCTGTTGACTAATGAGTTTGCCAGCCACTGCCCTAGGGCACTGGGAAACTAGGGTCCCAGATTTCCTGTCCTACTCAGAACGCTGGCCCTCCTTCAGTAGTCCTTATAGCCTCATTCCTGAGTAAAGGAGGCGGGGGCAACATTCATCCACCCTGGGGTAGGAGCTTAGGCATGGAGGAGATAGCAGACCTCAGTAATGAGTCCTCTGTAGTCTTGAGAGTAGGACTAACTCCAGTGAAACAGTCTAGTTCTAGGCAAAGGATGTTAAGGGAAACAGACACACTAAGACCTGGATTAAGTGGTAAGAAGGTAGAGCAGGTAAAAGTCACCCTACCCCACTTACCTGGGCACTGGGAGGGAACATGGAGGGCCCGTCCTCATCCCTATATAGTCACAGACCAAAACCTGATTATATTCACAACCAAGCTTTATTATTTTGTTAGATGTAAACAAGCATATCCAAGGTTAGGGCATGGGAGAGGGAGTAGGGCTAGCTTCTGGGCTGGAGAGGAACCTAAAAGGGTTGCTGGTGAAGGGAATGTGGGTCAGAGGGACCAGCATGATGGGAAGGTGCTTACTATCCAGGGGGAGTGGTGAGGAAGTCACTGCTCCTGGGTGCCCCAGGAGATGTAGTCTGGCCGCGTGGCGGCATGGTACTCATCGATGAGCTCCTGCACAACCTCCCTGGATCTGTCCAGCTCATCAAAGTTCTCTTTGAAGATGTCCTCCTTTCGGAACTGCTCCAGGAAGGCCTCCCGCTTCCGCAGCTTGTCGTACTGCTGGCAGGAACTTTCAAACAGCTGAAAGAGAGAAATCTCCATGATGGGAGCCAGTGCAGGATAGGGAGGTTGGAATAGATGGGGGGAGAATGACGAAGGGGCTAGTGGAACAGAGCGGCCAAAGACCAGGAGACTAGTCTCACCGAGGAGATGCTGGTGTGGTTGGCCATCATGAGCCCACTGACCCGGTGGGCAGAGGGCAGGTAGGGAGACTTCCTGGACAGGGCCACTTGGATGCTGGCTGGGCCCCAGGGGATGAAGTTGGCCAGCTTCCGTTCCCGGATCCTCTGCAGGCTCTTGTGGACCTGGGGTGGGCACAGGGGTGGTGGTGGTCGCCTCTCCTCTACCCCTGCAGGGTCCAGGGTGGAACGAAGGGGCCTCACCTACCTGAGTGGGATCCACCTCCCCCTGGATGATGTTGAGGATGGCGATGTAGCAGTGGTTGGTCTGCCGGTCCCGGCCGGTGGACACCATCACGTTCTTGGGCTGCAGCAGCCGCCTCATCACATCCAGGACCGTGGTCTTCCTCACACTGGCCACCTGAGGGGACAGTGGGCCCCAGGGACCAGGCCAGCACTCAGGGCACAGTCCACAGATGCACGGACAGAGAAGAGGAGGCAACACATGGCCCCCACCAGACTGGGGGCAGTATGGCCTCCTTGGGGAGTGTCTTTAGATTCAGGCCTATACTGAGCCTCTGCTGTGGGATCAGGAATCTTAGCCTTCTCAGCTCAGCAAGCTCATGGCCCTGTGCAGGAGCATTAGCAGCTCCCATACAGCCCAGACCCTGCAGGGAGCCAAAGGCAAGGCAGAGAGGAGAGCAAGTCAGCAAGGAAGTCTTACAGTCTGTGCCAGTCCCTGAGCACAGAGCCTCCTGGGGCAGCAGGGAGGAGAGAGAGGCTAGGTTAGAGGTTTCTGGGCCCAGGGCCAGTGGGGCCTGAGACACTGAGAGCTGTTCTTACCGACTGGTCCGTGGTGAGGGGGGTGTAACCAGTCATGAGGAAATGGAGCCGGGGCGTGGGAATGAGTGAGGCGATGAGGCCGATGAGGTCGTTGTTCATGTAGCCAGGGTAGCGCAGGGTGGTGGTGCTGGCTGACATGATGGTGGACACCTGGGGACAGGGATGCCATGTCATGGGTCTTGGCCTGGTGAGGGGGGGTGCTCCCTTCCCAGACAAGTGTTCCAGTAGGAAGGGGTTCCAGTCCAAGAGTCCAGGAGTGATGGCTCACCAGCTGGTTGATCTGGGAGAAGGATGGGTTCTGGATGTGCAGGCGGTCTGTGGCGATCCGGTTCAGGGCAGTGTTGTCCAGTACCACCTGGGGGGACAGAAGAGGGTCACGGCACCTTTTTGAGGAGAAAGGGGGCAGAGAAATAAGTTATTAGCGTATCCCCTCTCTAAAGTCCAAAACGAGGAAGTAAGTGTGTTATTTTAAAAGGAATGTACTGTGTCTGGGGCATCCTGAGACACCTCTCTACCATCCAGTGCAGTCAACAAATGTTTGTTTACCCCCCTGTGCCATGCACTGAGCCTGGCTCTGGAGATACCAAGGGAGTAAGCAGGCATGGTCTTCCCCTTCACCCAGTCTACAGTCTAGTGGAGGGAGACTGACATCAAATATAAAACAACAGAAAAGTATAGTTACTGCCTGAAATATGCACAAAGGCATTTGACCTTGACTGAGTGGTCAGGAAGGTTTATGCTAACAAAGTGACCTTTGTGCTGAAAATTTAAGCATGAGTAGGCATTAAATAAGGGGGACACGTGGAAGGATTGTGAGCAACTTGGGATCAGGTCCTTATTTCATAATTTGGGCTCCGAGGTATGGATTTGCTGGTCATCTGTTCTCTCTGCTGGGGCTCAGGAAGGGCAGGTGTAGGTGTCTCCTGGTTTGGGAGGTGAACCCAAGCCCCCATTTCCTCCTCTTATGCTCACCACACAGTCTGCGTTCTGGGTCAGCCTCTTGAGTGTGAGCAGCGAGTTGTAGGGCTGGACCACCACGTCGCTCATCTCGTCCTGGTTGGGAAACACTGAGTATGTCTGCACCAGCTTCTTGGGGTACCTGAGAATGAGGAAGAAGGAAAGGGGAAGGTAGCCCCATCACTGCCTATCTCTGTCTTTCCTGGGGATAGCAGGGGCCATTCCTTTCCAAGTGCCTCCAAATTCTTATACAAAAGGGTGAGGGCAGAACTGAGTCTTCAGAGCACAGGAGCCAAAAAGGATAAGTCTCGCCCAGCCAGTGTGGCTCAGTGATTGAGCATCAACTCATGAACCAGGTCACAGTTTGATTCCCTGTCAGGGCACATGCCCCGGTTTTGGGCTCTATCCCCAGTAGAAAGCCTATAGGAGGCAGCCAATCAATGATTCTCATCATTGATGTTTCCATCTCTTCCTTTCTCTGAAATCAAAAACATATAAAAAATAAAATCAATAAGCATATCCTCAAGTGAGAATTAAGGAAAGAAAAAAAAAAAAGGATAAGCCCAAAGCATCACACTCTATGGTTGCCCTCCTCTCCCTAGGTAAACACCCCTTCCAGGAGTGACTGTTTCCAAGATGTTCCCTGGGTGGCCAGGCTCTGTTCCCACCTAGGACTCAAAGGCTAGTTGCAGGTCTTCCAGTACAAGAGTTAAAAGTGATTAAAAAAAAAAAAAGAAAGAAAGACATTACCCAGGGAACCAGAGCTAATGCCCTCTTCCCAAACACAGGCTTTACCTGTCATTCAGTCGCTCCAGGAGGTAGGAGCCCAGGCCAGAACCCGTGCCCCCAGCGATGGAGTGACACAGCACAAAGCCCTGCATAAGAAGGATAGAAAGGCAGTCTCCAGGGATCTGGGAAGAGACTTCAGGCTTGTCTCAATCCCCAGGCCCAACACACTCATGTCTCAAGCCTTCCTCTGTGTCCATTCAGGCTGAGGCTCCCGGGGAAAGATGACTCCTACCTAAGAAACCGGTGCATCCAGATTAGCATCTCCTTGAGGACAAGGACTTTATTTACCTCAATATCTCACATCAGATGCTCAGTAAATGAGTTTTGACTCTAATTGCCCCCATCACACCGCCTGTTCAGGCTACCGCCTGACATTTCCCCAGCACTTCTCAGCCTTTTTGTTTTTTTCTTCAGTGGGGCAAAACCTCACCTCTAGGCTGTCACTTCCATCTGCTTCTCGATCTATGATGTCAAAAATATCTTCATGGATTTTCTCACCCTGCATAGAGAGATGGGAGGGAGGGTCAGGATGAGGATTCTGGAGAGCATCTCTTTTCAGCACCAAAAATGCTTCTCAGGGGCAGTCAGCTGTGGCCCTCAACTCAGAATAGCTACTTTGCAAATAATGGCACAGTTTGCATAAACCTCTCCCAGGCTATCCCTCTTGTCAGGGTATCCCTTTGTCTCCTTTTCATGGTTAATTTAGTCTAATTAGATCCCCAGGCTGCTTGAGCCCGCCTTGCCTAAGGGAGGGAACATCAAGGGTTTCTGGGGTGGCCATCTGAATA